CCTCTTCCTCCTCCTCGTCCTCCTCCTCACTCTCGCGGGCGGCCCCGCCGGTGAAGCCGGAGCGCTGCCGCGAGGGCGAGGCCTGCGGCGGCCCGGCGGCGGAGCGGCCCGGGCTGGGCGGCGCGGTGCGGCCGCTGCGCCGCGCCGCCGCCACCTCGGCCCGCAGGCAGCCCAGCTTCTTGATGTAGACCTTGCGGGTGGTGGCGGTGATGGGCCCCGGGCGGTAGCCGAGCGCCAGCAGCTCCTTGCGGAGCTCCGCGTCCGTCAGCTCCGCCATGGCCGCGCCAGGCCCCGCCGGAAGCGCCCCGCGGGCGGGAAGCGACGCCGCCATCTTGGGAGGGGCCCCGCGCGCCCCTGGCGCCGCCATGTTGGGAAGGGCGCGGGGCGTGTGGAGAAAGGGCGCGGGGGGCGGGCGCCATGTTGGGAAGGTCGAGGGGTGCGGGCTCGGTGCCCTGAGGGAGCGGCAGCTCCCGCTCCGCTGCTCGCTCAGGACCGGCGAAAAGCGGGAGAAACGCGGAAAGCAAAAGGCGAAAGCTGCCTCATGTGCGCGACGAGCCGCTGTCGATGATGGGTTGTCCCCCATCGCTGTGTGGGGCTGCTCCTGGCGCAGCTCCTGCCTCACCCACCCTGATGTTCTGACATTTTTAGGGCCATTCTCCCAAAAAACGTCCCTTTCCCAGCCACCTGCCACCCCCGCACGCGTTTCCATCATCGCTGCCCACTTGCTGAGCTCTGCCAGAACCTCAGGCAGGACCAGGATCCAGATCCGTGAAATATTTCCTGGGAAGGGGGGTCCGTCCACACCCCACACCTAAAACAGCAAACCCAAGCGTTGACTTGTAAATTTATTTTGGCACAGCTGTGATGAACAGTAATTGCTTTTTCTTGCTGCCGCCGCTAAAGAAAGCGATGAAAGCGGCTGAAATACGGTGGCGTCATGTCGGAATTTAATTAAAGGTAATGGAGCGGTGGTGCTGAAGGTGCTGAGGGCTGGCTGCGTGCCACGGTGTGGTGATGGATGTGTGACACTGGGGTGGGGACATGCCGTGCTCCCTCAGGAATGGCACCTGTGGGGAGAGGGAGGCTCCAGAGGAGCACGAAGCTGAAAGAGCTGAGCTGTGCCTTCCCGACATAAATCACAGAATCCCAGAGTCAGTGAGGCTGGGAAATCCCTGCAACACCATCGAGCCCAAGCTGTGACCAATCCCCACCCGAGTGCCATGTCCGGTCTTCCTTGGACACCCCAGGGATGGGGACTCCAAACCTCCCTGAGCAGCCCCTTGCGATACTAACAACCCTTTCCATGGAGAAATTCCTCCTGATGTCCAACCTGAGCCTCGCCTGTCTCTTGTCCTGTCACTAATCCTTCTTTCAGGAACCCTCTTCCTTAGCAGGTCCCCAAAGCTCACTTCACTCTTCCCAATTTATCCAAGAAAGCAGCAACAAGATGCTGAGATTTGTTTGTCAGGTTGGCAACAGCAAATGCATCCTCAGCAGAGGCCAGGGAGCCCATTAAAAGAGCAAACTCAGCTGTGCTGGGGAGTGTGAAGGCGCTAAGCTGAGCTTCCTCGGTGCTCCTCTGCCAGCTCATGATGTGGAGAGGGGTCTAATGTAAATAAAAAATTCCAATTTGCTCCTATCACACAGATCCTGTGAGCGCACAGCTCTCATTTTGCAGAAGCTCTGCCTGGGCACGCAGCTGCACGCTGGCTGAGCCGGTGCAAATCTGGGAATTAAATGAACTCACCTTTTTCTGGAGAAAACAGCAACGAAAGCCCAAACCCATCCTTTCAACTTTTGATTCTGCCCATTATGGAAATTACCCCAGGCCCAACAGCCCCATTGCACAATCTTTGGAGGGGAAGACATGGGATTGGTGTTGGACAACTGGAGGATGGGGAAAACCTGTGATTCCTCCTCAGAAGGAGGTTGGCAGCACCAAAGCTCAGCAGGATCAGGTGCCTATTCTTTGTGGCGAGAAATCCACGACCCCTTTCCCTTCCTCCCTGTGGGAGAATCCCTGCCTTCCCTGGAAGGCATTTGGCCCCAACAAGGAAGGCAGCAGGAACAGAAGTGTCAGACCCTATATCCCCATGGGCAATCTTTGTTCCCATCCCCTGCCCACAGTGCCAATGCTGAATTTGACAGTGGATTTTCTATTTTTGCAGCCCCTCCATCATCCTCGTAGCTCTGGGAGCACCAAGCGGTGCCGAGGCTGCAGATGGGCTCGGCAAAAAGCGTTTCTTGGCTGGAAACCGCCGGAGCTGGCTGTGGGAAGCTGGGAGAGCACGGAGGGACAGCCTCCACCTTCCCTGCGAGCCCAGAAGCTGCCTCAGAGCTGCTGGCAGCAGCTCTGATGCCAGAGGAGCAGACGCGCCGCGCCGGCTGCTCCGGTTCTGGCAGCCTGGGGACAGGGCTGGTGTGAGCAGAGCCCTGGGAACGGATCCGTGCCGGAGCAGGGAATGGCTGCGCCCCAAACCCGCAGCTGAGCCCTTCCACCGCTGACTGATGGGCTGCTGAAACCCCGAGTCCCCCCCTCCTCCTTGTCCGTGGCTGTTGGGTGACTGCCCTGCACATGGCACCCAGGGAAGTGCCAGGGCTGTCTTGGGAGCCGACTGTGCCCGTTTGTCACCCTGTCACTCACAGCCACAGCACAGGTGTGACCCAGGAGCCCTCACCCGCCTGCCCGTCCTGAGGAAGTCAGAGGTGACTCCATTCCCTTCCCTCCTCCTTGCCCCAACTATTGGGCTGCTCATCCCACCATGAAATTCTTGTTTGGTTTCTTCCTGCCTGTCTGCAGGTGTGACCTGGGTGCTGCTGGCTGCCAAAGCACCTTCCAGGGCAGGGGAAAATGGAGATCTGTCCTGAAACCTGGAGAACACTTCTTTCTTACCCAAAACCAGAGCCCTGACAGCCTGGAGGGCGCTGGTTGGGGTCCCTCCATCTCTTTCCAGTGGAAATGTTTCTGCTTCTCCTTCTCAGGCCGCTGAGGGTGGAAGGAATTTACTCCCAAAAGTTGAAGATATACTTTGGTGCTTGTTTGGACACCACAGTTGGTGCTGCAAGACAGGACAAGGGTTCCTGTGGTCTCTGTCACAATCAGCCATTACATCCTGAGCTCATTTATAACTGGGATGAGCCACTGGAAAATCCATGGTGGGGGTCACAGCTGGTCCTTGCTGATGCAGCTTGTGTGGGTCCAAGGGTAAGAGCAGAGTCCTACTGATGGATCTCCCTCTGGAATTTTCCACAGCGTCAGCCCCCCCATCACCCCAGTGGGAAATGGTCCAGGGAGCAAATCCAAGAGGCTCATGTTCACTTTGTTTCCATCACTGGAAAACTTTCCTTCCTGGATGGCACAGGGGAGGTGTTGGCCTGAAAAATGATGGGAGGGAAGGAGCTGGGAAAGGACACCCTGAAGGGACAGCTCTGATCCACAGTGGAGATTATGGAGGGGGTCTGGGGGCATTTTACCCTTCGAGGGGGAATTCTCCTTTGTTTTCATGTGGCAAAATCAAACCTGGAATAAAGATTTGGATGTCTGTGAAGTAACAAGGCAAGAGGTGCCCCCTGAAGTGAACAAGACTCTGACCTTGCTGCACACTGGCGTAAATGTGGCACAGCTCCTCCTGTGATTGCCATGCCAGCTCTTCCATGGATATCACCCCTCTGCAGATGGAGCTCCTGCAGCCCAGACTGCTCTCACTCCCAGCCTAATGGAATGTGTTATTTCCCATCTCCCTCCCACTCAGAGTCATTACAGAGCTTCCACAGCTCACACAGCCTCAGCATTACTGGGAGCTTCCTGGAGCTGCTCAGTCCCTGGACAAGGAGCGTGCCTCTGGATCAAACATTAGAGCTGGAATCCACTGCATGCTGCCTGTTCCATTACCCATTGGGAGCCTTCTCCTCTCCCCAGGGCTGCTTACGGCACAGTGCTCCGAGGGGTGTTGTTCCAGCACAAACAGAGCTCTTGGAATGAGCTCAGCGAGAACAGAACTCCTGTTAGGTTGGGAGGATAAAATTGGATTGGAATTGGATATATTCACGTACATGCCATTGATGTCATCCATCCGTACTTTACATATGTTGGATTTCCTGCTGCCAGCAGAGAGGAGTAGCTCTCAGATAAGCCAAAGGTATGGAAATGGAGAGCAGGATGTTCAAGTGGAATTAGGATTTCACCTTGGGGTGTGTTTGAGAGGCAGGAGAAAGGGCAGAGTGCATTCCCTCACACTGTGCCTGGCACAGCTGCTCCTCACTGTGCTGGTGGATTTTGGGCACAGGGAGAGGCTGCCCATCAGGGCTCCTGCGTTCCCCAGCAGTGTGGGAATGTGCCAGAGCACCCTCCTGGAGCAGGGAACTGAGTTAGGGACACCCAGGTCCCCCCTTGTGTCACCAGTTTGACCAGGAGATCGGGTAAAGGTTTGCCTCAGTTTCCTTTATTGCTGAAAGGAAGGGCTAAGATTTAATATTCCTCAAAGATTGATTCCTCAGGCTTTGCCAGACACTTTCACAGAATCTCAGAACCCTTGAGGTTGGAAAATCCTTCCAGGATCATCAAGTCCAACCTGTGCCCAATGCCCACCCTGAGCACTCAGTGCCACCTCCAGGGACGGGCACTGCAAACCCCCCTGGGCAGCCCCTTCCAGCCCTTTCCAGGAGGAAATTCCTGCTGATGTCCACCCTGAGCCTCCCCAGCCCAGCCTGAGGCCGTTCCCTCTCCTCCTGTCCCTGTTCCCTGGGACAAGATCCCAAATCCCCCCCGGCTGTCCCCTCCTGGCAGGGAGTTGTGCAGAGCCACAAATTCCCCCTGAGCCTCCTTTGCTCCAGGCTGAGCCCCTTCCCAGCTCCCTCAGCTCCTCACAGGACTCTCAGAGCAGTGCTCAGGAAAACAGGGGTGTTCTCCAAAACCTGGAGCCTTTCCTCTCTCTTCTTTCCCACATTGGGCACTCCCCATCTGTTTGAGAGGCTTGCAGGACGGAAGACACAAATCCTCCTTTTAATTACGTTGCACATTTATTGTCTCACCTCAGATTTTGTTAATCTCTCTCACAAATTTCGTTTACATAAGTGGAGTCTTTCAGCTTGAGCAGCTCCAGCACTTTCTCTTCTGATCCTGCAGATATCAGTCAGCTAAATAGAAAAGAGAGAAAAGCACAAGTGTCCTTAAATCTGGCATTCAGTCTTTCCAGAGCTTTATGTGTTGTTTCCTCCTCCTCAGCTCCCCAGCTGAAAGCTCGGAGGCAAACTGGGATGAGCACAGGCAGAGCAGAGTAATCCCAAGGGAGAGCAGGACCCCCTTTCCTGGGCTTAAACATCCCAGAAAAGGCCAAGGCACAGGGACAGCACCATCCCACCATCCCTCAACCTGCAGGCAGGAAGAGCTGCACAACAACCTGCCCCTGGATCTTTGCTGCTGCAATTCCCACACACCATTTCCCAAAGGAAAAGGAGGATTTGCAGCAAATTGCGGTGTAATTAAGTGGCAGTGTTAAGCCCCCGTGCAGGCAGCGAGGTGTTCCAAGCTGGCTGCACATGCTGAGCTGCCTCACAGGTACAGTTGCTGTTATAAGCTCTGCTGGAAATTGTTCCCTGGAGACTGAGGACTTTTTGGGAGGAGGAGGAGCAGGGAAGTGGCAAACAGAGTTGCTGGGAAGGGCTGTTCTGTTGCTTCCAGTCAATATCAGCTCTGGGCAGCACCTTACGAGGGAATAACCTTCCCAGAAAGGTGCACACGGGAACAGTTGGGATCTGAGGGCTCCACAAAGTGAGCAAACATGACACAAAAACCCTTCTGGGGAATATAAATATCTCTGTGCTGATGAGCTGGTGAGAAGAAGGAAAGGCAGAATTCCCAAGGCAGAAATCAACCCTCTGACAGTACCATCTGGGGTGTCCTGTAACAGCTCTGCCAGCAGTTTCTCCAGGACATCTTGGTATTTTTCCAGCTGCCTTGGGGTGAGCCAAGCTCTGACAGGAAGGGCTTGCTGTGGAGGAAACCAGAGAAGTCAGAACAAAAAGGTGAGGGGAGCAGAGGGAGGGAGGTTTGCTTTGACCCCGCTTGGACTGAGTTAGTGAAGGGTTTAGGATTTGGAGGGAAGAGGACAAGCCTCACATGGGGAAAAGCAACATTTTGAAGGCAACACACTCTTGAGTCGTTCAGAATGCTGTTGCATAACCCGTGGGCTGGCTCAGAAATCCAGATAAAGGCACCTCCTGGCAGCAGGGATGCAAAGAAAATAATTTCTGAACCCTCTAATCCTCCACTGTGTGGCACATCGACCCTTCCAGCCTGAGCTGCAGAGCTCCTGCCCTAGCAACAGCTGAGGCCGAGCTGTGGTCCTGCTCCAGCCTGCTGCACTTGGAGCCAGCTGTGCCTGAAGCAAAGAGCTCTGTGCTGGTGCTGCCAGCTGAGGGGATGTGCTGGCAATTTCACACTTTGAACTGGGCATTTTGCTGTTTAAATCCTGTTACCGAGTGCTGGTGCATCACGAGTGCGGGAGGAGTTGCACATTTAGCTGTGCCTTGGCCAAATTCCAGCCTGGCTGGTCCTGCTGTCTGTCCCATGGGGTCTGTCCCTGTTTAGGGGGATCTGCACCCTCCTTTTGCTGGCAGAGAATGGCCCAGCTCCCTGCAGGAGTGGCTGCCCACACAGTAGCTGAGTTTCCTGTGCTCAAGTGGCAAAGTACAATTTTCAGACTTGACTCGCCAGGTGAGTCTGCCTTTGAGGGTTTAGCCTGGCACTTCAATCCCTAAAATTGCCCATTTTCTGCTCTGTGTACAGACTTGGAGCCCAAGTTTTTAAATAAGGCCTCTCCAGTGCAGAGAACTGTGGGGTCAGAGGTGACACCGAGCAGGAGCTGAAGCAGAACTGGGAGTTCTGCCCTGCACCTTGCTGGGCTTCACTGCCTGGCAGAGACCTCAGGCTGTTCCCATCTTCCTCAGGGAAAAGCTGTTGGGTCTCAGGGGTGACCTGGCTGCTGAACGACCAAGATAACTTTGAGTGGAGCTAAAACTTCTCTCTGATGTAAGCAGGCAGGCTGGCAGAGGACATCTCTTGGACTCCTTGTCCCCTGCACGTCCTCTTGGGCTCCTCAGAGTCAAATGGCTCCACATACCTGGAGGGTCTTGGCTGCATTGACATCCACACCAGATTGCTCAGAGAAACCTTCCTCCTCCAGCTGCTGCAGCGAGCTCAGGGATTTCTTCTGCCCTGCCTTGTTCCTCTCCTTTTCCTGCAGCTTCGGGGCAGAGAGCAGAGGGGGCAGTCGGTGATGCTGGGATCAGCAGCAAACCCACTCCGTGCTGTCCCAACAGCCAGGAACCCACGGTGCTGGGCACAGAACCAGTGAGGAGGTGGAATCCTCCCGGGAAGGGCCCATCTGCTGTGCCCTGGGTGGCCTTTGGGGACTGAAATCCAGCAGTGCTGGGGGCGAGGTCAGGTTACGGGGCAGGGTGTGAAGGTCTGCAGTAAACAGGAGCCACGTGTGGTGGGGGAACCCTGTCAGGACACGGGAGCTGGCAGCACTGGGACCTTCCCACAGGAGCTGACAGCACTGGGACCTTCCCCAGCTGTCCCACAGAGCCTGGCCTGGGTCGGTGCTGGAGCACCGCAAGGAAATTGAGCCGAGGTCACGTTTTCCCAGCCTTTCTGCAGGTTTGTCATGTCAGCCCATCCCCATTTATTTAGGTGCCTTCAGGACCCTCTGGAAAAAGCCAAGGTGCTTTGGAATATGACAGACACATCAGGACACATCAAATATGTCACCGGCCATGCTCAGTGTCCAGCAGGTGAGGAACAGGGACAGATTTCCCCTTTGTTCATCCAGAAACTCCCAATCCCTGCTGTGGCAGACATGGTGCTACAAGGGCTGTGGGGTACAAACACAGCCCATGTGGGTCCCCGTCCTCCTCGAGGACTTTGCAGAATGTCTGTGCTCCCCACAAAAAGCAATTGTTATCCAGGGGTAGGTGTTGGAAATGGGATTTCTCCCGGAATCCAGGGGCTCGGCAGCGCGGGGGAAGCTCGCTGGGGCTGCGTTTCAGAAGCTGCCGTCTCTGAGCCTGCCTGACACCTTTCAACGGTATTTGTTTCACTTCAAAAGGAAAAACGTTCTCTCGGCACGTCCCAGAGGTGACAACCAGCCGGGGGATGGTTAATTATTTGTTGCAACAAAAGAGCCATCACTGAGCTGATGGGAGGCTGCAGCTGCTCTGGAAGAATTCCAGCACCAGGAAAGGGAAAGGACCCGCAGGGACTGCAGGTGACACCCCCACAGGTGTGGCACACCTTTGGTAGGGGGGTCCAGGCTCGTCCTTTCTAAATCACAACTTAAAAATTCCCTCTGCCTCCCCCCAGCGCCGTGGATTTTGGGAGAAGGAGATCAGGGTGTCTCCTGTTGATGGCGTGCCCTGCAGTTTGGAGAGTGAGGGCAGGAATAAACCTTTCCTGGTTTATTCATTCCAGAGGGGTTACCTGCATTTTCTGGAAGTCACTCTGGGTGAAAAAGGGCATGAAGCCTTGGGTCTGCTCAGCCAGCACGGACAGCAGGGACACCAGCAGCAAAGTGGCCACCACCTTCCTCGAAACCATCCTGAGAGCCTGCACAACACAGGGAAGGAGACACCGGGGCAGCAATGGAGGGGACGTGTGACCAGAAACGCTCTTGGCTCTGCACCAGCTGCAGCCCAGCTCGGCCCCAGCCCACCTGAGGGATATTTCCTCTTCCAGTTGCTCCTGAGCTGAGAATAGAAGTGCCTTGCCTGAGAATAGAAGTGCCTTGACTGACAATTCTCTTCTCAAAGCTGTTTGTGTAAACAGATTTGTTCTTGAGCAACATCTCCAGGGATTTCAAGCCCAGCCCTTCAGGACTGCTCAAGCCTCCCTGAGTCCTCGAGCCTCAGCCCTGCAGCTGTGTTGGTTTAAGACCTGAACACATCCAGAGCAAACCCATCAATCCCAGTGCCAGCACGGCAGACAGAGATGCTGCAAAGAGAAAACCCTTCAAACAGCTGGTTTTTTAATTTTTGTTTTGATTTTCCTCACCACTGGAAACCTTCCTGAGTGGAGTGGATCTCTTAAGAAGCCTCATTGAGTCCAAGGGAAATGGGGAAAGCATTTTCCAGCCCAGCTCTGTCTGAGCCTGCAATAAAGGGCTTTAAAAACCACCTCTGAAGTGATCTAACTGTGACTTCACGTCAGGAAAGGACTTATGTAAACATTGAATGTTCTCTTTAAATATTAAAATATTCTCTCTGGACAGACTTAATGAAGTCTGGTCCTACAGCTTAACTTCTCCACCTGATTGGAGCCTGATCCTTAATTAGTTTCAGCAACCTCTTGGTTTGGACATTATTGAGAAGACATTGTTAAGTTAGATTTGACTCCTGAATTAGATTTCCCATAAATATTAGCTGGTATTGAACCGAGGGCCAGTGGAAGTTAATAAATATTCCCTTTCCATAGCACCTGTCAGTCACGTCCTCCCCTCTCCCTTCCCTGGGCACTGGACTGGTGCCATCTCCCCCTGCCCACCCAGACTGGGCCACCAGAGCCACCTCCTGCCCTGGGACATCCCAGCGTGTCCCAGCCCTGTTTCCTGCAGGGATCCAGGCAGGAATTCTCAGGCTCTGCCCTTGCAATGCAACCTCAGCAGCATCAATCTTTGGTGCTTTTTCATTTGTTCTATCACTGCAGTAAATATATAAATAAATAAAATACTGCTGAATACAAAGAAAATTTACCCAGTCACTTCCTTCATCTCTTCTTGGCTAATCCCTTTGGGGAATTGATTCTCTCCTTCTTCTCCCAGAAAAACACCCACACAGACCTCTCCTCTCAGAAACAGCCCTGCTGAAAGCCTCCCTTGCTTGGCAAGCAGGACCCCCAGATCTCCAGCTCAGCACCTCTCCAGGCAGAGAGCACTTGGTGGATTTGCTTCCCAGCTCCAAAGGGAAAAGAAAAAAAGCAGAAGGATCCCGAGTTCAGCATCAGCACTGTGGGCACACAGGGCTGGGACAGCTCTGCTCACCCCCCAAAACCCAGTCAAGTGCCAGCGTGGGGGCAGAGGGGTGGGCAGCTGGCACAGTGACAGGACAGGAAAATCCTTTTCCAATCCAGGAAAATCTATTCCTGGCACTGGGACCTGTCTGAGGGTCATTTTCTGCCGGCTCAGAGGGCACCAGGGCTCCCCACCGCTCTGTGGCAGTGCCCAGTGTCTGCCAGGTGCCCACAGGAGGCAGAAGCTGCTGGAATCGGTGTTCCTGTGATGGGGATGAAGGAAAAGCACCTTCCCCCTTGTTTCAGCATCGATTTTGTTCCCTCCTCTTCCTCTGAGCTGGCTCTGCTGTGCCAAGACCTACCTGGGAGTGCAGCCACAGGACGCTGGAGGTCGGAGCTCTTCTCCCTCCTGTCACACCTGGATGCTCCTGCTGCTTCTCCTCCCTTTATAAACCCATCCAGGCACGGCAGCCACTCACCTGTGACCCTGTCCAGCTGCCTGGCCTGCATGGAAACGGCTTTCCCAGGCAGGGAATGTTGTCTGCACTGGAGTTTTCCGAGTTTCTCGTTTCCAGGCAGATCCCCTCTGCTCCCTCCCCAGGTCCTTCAGCTGTTCCTGCTGGTCCCACAGCTGAGGCAGATCAGTTGCTGCCTCAGTTTCTCCATCTAAGAGAAATTCCTCCCTCCTGGCTTGTGTTTCTAGACACCGAGCCTGCAGAATTCGTTTTTTAGGATGTGAATGTCCCAGCACTACGACACCTGTGTCAATTCTATTTCTACTGTAATTGCAAATCACAATAATATCAAAATTGCCACTTTGAGTCTTCAAGTGGCTCCTTCTCCCATCCTCACTGAGCCTGGCACTGATCCCCTTGGGAACACAAACCCTGCACTGTCATCCCTCTCCAGACAAACGAGGTGCTGAGAGGGGAGGGAATTGTGCAAGAACTCATCTGTGCCCTCCCGGGACCATCAGCCAGGAGCTGATGCCAGAGGATTTGGGATCAGGCCAGGCACATCCTGGTGCTGCTCCTGAGGGAGTCTGGGAGCAGCCAGGCGAGGAGCAGGAGGCAAAAACGAGCTGGGAATCCATGAAACCCTCCTGCATCCACGGGCTCCATGGGCTGGGAGAGAGGGGAGCATTCCTGCCTGCCCTGGAGGGATATCGGGAACAGCGATTGCCCAGCCCTGGAATGCCATTTGTCACCTGGGAATGTCACCTGGGAATGGCATTTGTCACCTGGGAATGGCATTTGTCACCTGGGAATGCCGTTTTCACCTGGCCCCATCGCAGCCAGTCAATAGGACACGGGCACAGCAGTGTCACCAGGGACCTGCTGCTGTCACAGCTGTCAATAACGCTCGATTTGGGACAGAGCCCTCCTGAAAAACCTCGTGTCCAACACTCAGGTGTTTCCCGGATCCCTGGGCATCCTCCCCAGCTTATCACCCCCTGGGCAGTGGAAAGCTCCCAGAGACTCCAGCACAGCTTTGCTCCCTGGAAACCTCCCTGGGAATGCGGCTGGGGGTGATGGAAAGGATGTCACCCACACGGCGTGGGGTGACCCCTCCCTTCCCTAAACAATTAGCACAAACCCCATCCAATTGCCATTTTAATTGACTTTTCCAGTCCTTTTCTTCGCATGGTTATGATGGATGCAGCTGACGAGTCAGCAGATGGTGCTGGGAAGTGACAAATTAGTTACCAAGAAAGGTCACTTTTCCAAAGCACTAAACTTCCCCGTGTCTTGTCCCACTGTCCCTCCAAGACGCGTCAGGCTGGCAGCTTTCCATCCAGCTGGGATGGAGCCTTCTGCCTGGGGAAGGACAACCTTCCAAATCAAAGAGAGGGATGAAAATTAATCATATCTGTATTAGCTGCATGCAGCCTGCCAGCTTCACCTCTTAATTATGCGAGACTGCTCCGACAGGAAGGAATCGTGGAGCTGAAAATAAAGGATGTGACTCCAGGTCTGGAAGTGCCAGGGCAGGTGGGAGCAACAGGCACCTCCTGCCTCTGGCTTGGCCCAGTCCATAAAAGCAGCTTTTGGCACATCCTGGCTGCAAAACAAGGATAAATGAAAATAAAAAATCCCAGCTGGAGGTCTCCCTGCCAGCGCTGTAATTCCAAAATTCCATCCTGCTGCATCCCTGGCACCGTTTGCAACCTGCAGCCCCCAGAACTCCCCTTTGGGCTGCGGTGCCAAGTGGCAGCAGAGGTTGGAGGCTCAACAGAAACACAATGTTCAAGACAGGTTTGAGTGCAGTTCTGCTTGTTCTGAAAGTGAAATGTTTGGCATAACTGGGAGTCATTTTCCCAGGAAACTGGCAGTGGAGTGCAGTCCATTGGGCCTGGCAGTGCCAAGGAACAAGGGGCAGAATGAGCTGCCTGTGCCAGCAGCACACCAGAGCCTCTCTGGAAACCAGCTCTGAGGTGACCTGTGCACCCCAAAACTGGGGAAATTCTGCCTGTTGCCTCAGTTTTCCATGAAGAATAAAAGAGAGGGAAAATGGTTTTCTGGACAGAGCCTGGATAGATTTGGCTTCTCTACAAGGACAGGCACTGACCAAAACATCCTATCCCATAACAATCCTCTTTCACTGGGATTAAAAAAATACCAAAACATTTTTAAAAATCCCTTTTTCTAATAAAATAAATGTCTGGGCTTATAAGAACTTTCTCTTCTCTCAAATAAGGAAAGAAATAAACAGGAGGAAAATGTTTCATTGCCTGGTTTCTCTACATTTTTGGTCACTCCTTTGCCACCCTCTCCCCGATCTGGAAGAAGCGAAGAGAGAAAGGAGAGGAGGTGAGAAAACACGATGGGATGCAGCTCAGCTGTTCCCATTTTGCTTTTCAAATCCGAGCCACCCGGTTTTCATTTGAGGGATCAGGAATATTTTTAGGAATGGTACAAAATGCAGCCTCACACCCAGGGAGGGGAGGTGACTGGTTTGTCCCGTGGGGCTGGGTGACATCCCTGGGCACCCCACTGTCCTTTTGGGGTGCTGTGACCCCAGGCAGGGGATGGGAGAGCCCAGCCAAGCTCAGAGGCAGGGAAATCACTCAGATTTCAGCTAAAGACATCCCTGCCCTGCTCCCAGGATGAAAATCCAGCCTGGGGCAGGTGGAGGGCTCAGGTAAGGCCGGGCTCGCTGCAGGCAGGTGGGAAAGGGGAGGAGGGAGAGAGATCCAAGCACCGGGATCTGCCCGTGCTCACCACGGACAGCGGCCACTCCTGGGCACATCGAGGGAAAGAGGGGCAGGGAAAGCAGCTGGGGGGAGAAAAGGAGGGAAAAAAAGAAGAGGAGGGAAAGAAAGGCAGGAAAAATAATTGGAGGGGAAGAAAAGGAGGGAAATAAGGGCAGGAAAAATAATTGGAGGGGAAGAAGAGAAGGGAAAACAAGTGGAGGGGAAGAAAAGGAGGGAAAGAAAGAAGAGGAGCACAAAGAAGGGCAGGAAAAACAACTGGGGGGAAAGAAAATGAGGGGAAAAAAGAGAGGGAAAGAAGGGCAGGGAAAACAAGTAGGGGGAGGATAAAAGGAGGGAAAGAAAAAAGAAGAAGGGAGGAAAGAAGAGCAGGGAAAACAAGCAGAAGGAAGAAGAAAAGAAAGAAAAGAGCAGGGAAAGAAGGGCGGGGAAAACAATTGTGGAGGAAGAAGAGGAGGGAAAAAAAGAGAGGGAAAGAAGAGCAGGGAAAATAATTATGGGGAGAATAAAAGGAGGGAAAGAAAGAAGAAAGGAGACAGAAGGGGTCCAGCATCGTTGTGCTCAGCAGTGCCAGCTGCCAGCAGATTTCCCAAGACTGGATGATGCCAGATTCCCAGGATTTATTGGTGCTCTCACTGGAGTCTCCCTGTTCATCCCAGCACCTCTCAGCAATCAGTGGCCATTTATCTGCCACAGAGGAGAAGGGTTCTGGCTCTCAAGGCACCAATTCATCCTGGGAGGAACAAGGAGGCAGAGCTGGATGGCTTCAGGGTGAAAAAGAGACTCATGTGGCAGGTCAATGAGCTCCTGGGCGAGGAATCCCAGGAACTGCAGCACATCCATCCCAGCTGGGATATGGCAAAAACAGAACAGAAAATTGTGACAGCAGCAGAAAGATCTGCAGAGCCTCGGGGCCTGTGCAGCCAGGCCTGATCCCAGCACAGGGCTCACTTTTGATAAAATGCCCGTTTAATCCGTGGATATTTTGCTTAGGCGTGGAACAGCAACCTCAGCGAAAGCCTCTCAACCACAAAGGCTTTAGAGGGCTAAACAGTAAAGACTGGGAATTAAGGAGAATAAATATTAATGAAAGGGGTGGGGAAATGCATCATTTCTCCAGACAACCCTGCTCCCCTGCACGGGGCTGTTGGGTTTTTGCTCCCTGGAGCAGGAGCTGCACGTGCTGGGATGGAGCTGCAGCACCAGCCACACAGAGCCCACATCCCATAGGAGAGGGAAAAGGGAGCAGATTGCCCAAAAAAGGGCCAGCATGGGATTCAACATTCATGGGATGCAGCAAACCCTGCACTGCTGTCAGTGGCTGTGGGTCAAGCCCAGAGTGGCACAGCCAGAGCTGTTACATAAAGGGATGGGGAGCAGCCAGGCCTGGGCTGGATGGAGGAAATGAATCCAATTACAGGATGAAGGGCACATTTGGTCTGGAGCAAATCCCTAAAAGGCTTTAAAGCAGGGACAGCAAGAATGAATCATGGTGCAGGACACGCGGCCACCACCGAGAGGAGCTGGGGCCTTGGAATGGGGCAGGAGGCAGGAATGGGGCTCTGCACCTGGCTGAGGGAGAAACACTGCCAGGATGAGGCTCTTCTGGGAGCTGGGACACCAGCTTGGCTGCTCCTGGGGGTGTTGGAGTGAGGAGCCAGCCCAGCCAGGCAGCAGGGAGCAGCCCTGCTGGAAAGAGGAAACAAGCACGCAACCCCCAAATTTCCTCCGTGCTGATTCCCATAAGATTATAACCCAGCTGCCCGTGTCACAGCAGGCTCCAGACTTCCACTGAGAAAACTAAGGGTTTGTATTAGAAAGAAAAAAAAAATAAAATAAATTGACCCAGTTATGACAAAACGAAGCAGCACGTTCACAGCATCGCTGTGGAAGCCCATGAGCAGTCACAACAAGGCCCTCGGGAGTAACAGGATTCCACTTCAAATGAGATTTACAAATTAAAAATAAAATAGCTGGATTATTTCTGAGTGCCTGAACCCCCTTTCCTGGCTGCTCAGCCAGCCCCAAGTGGACACTGGACACTGCAGGGCGGGGGGTGCTGTGCCTGTGCATCCCTCGGGAATTTGGGAAAAGCCTTTCCTTTGCCTCTCTGAGTTTGCAGTCAGGCACCTGCCCCATGTCAGGCAAAGGAGGAGAGCTGGACACAGATCCCTGGTAACTCCCGTGGTAACTCCTGTCCAGCCCCTCAGAGAGCCCAGAAACCAGACCAAAATCCTGACTGGTTCCAGTTTGCCAGGCAGGGAGATCAGAGTGGTGTTTTTGCTGTCACCCCTGGCAGAGCTCGACTTGCTATGGGCACAGCCATGGGAGCTCTGCCAGAGCTGCTGGGATCTGCTGGAGCTGCCAGGATCTTCTGGAGCTGATGGGATCTACTGGAGCTGATGGGATCTGCTGGATTTGCTGGGATCTGCTGGAGCTGCCGCGATCTTCCAGAGCTGTTGGGATCTGCCAGCTGTGCCAGGATCTGATGGAGCTGATGAGATCTGCTGGCTGTGCTGGGATCTGCCAGAGCTTTTGGGATCTGCTGGCTTTGCTGGGTTCTGCTGGCTGTGCCAGCTGCTCCTCGCCTGGGGCCGGGGGAATGTCTTGCACACCTGCCCACTCTGCCACAGCCCCGGGTTGTCACCGAGGGAGAAGCGTTGACAGCACCACACGGAGCGGAGCAGGCTCGCAGCTGAGCCGGGATTGCTCAGCTCCTTGGCAGGGAAATGACAGGGCCCAAAGAGTGCCTGTCTCTGCAAGGAAATCCTGCAGAGCTTGGAGAGACGTTACCTGGATCAGCAGCGGGAGGAAAAGGCTGGGAGCTGACAGAGCGTGCAAATATCAGGGGAAGATATGTGGGGGAGCTCTCCCCACATCCCAGCTGCTTTATGGCTTGGGGGAAGAGCCTGAGCAGGATGGAGATGGAGAACCTGCCTGGAAAATGGGAGCTGAGGTCCCTCCTGCTCAAATTTTGTTCATGAAAGACAAAAGACAGCCTGCTGTGCACTCTTATTTTTTGAGACAAAAGCAAACTCACCTCCCCGTGCACCCCCAGCCCCTGCCCTGGGTGGGTGCCCAGGGCATGGCCACAGAGCCACAGAGCCACCAGCCATGGCCAGGTAATCCCTGCTGGGGGAGGACCGGCCTAGCAAACCCAATTGTAAATACATCAGTGTCCTCCTTCTCCCTGCCACCCGTTTAAATCTATTTGATCCACTCTAATGGATTGATCTACAAGTTTGTGCACACACATCCTGCTTTGGACGGGCGGCTGGCAGCGCCTCGCCCATCACGGCCTGTCAGCTCCACTCAGCCTCACCTCCAGCGCAGAGCGAATCCAATTACAGGATAAAGGGTTTTCTTCCCCTCCATATGGTCTCTATAACGCCGTGGCTTTATCTTGCCTTAACCCCTTTCCTGGTGAGGGAGCTCACAAGCCCGGCCTAAGTGGCTCAGCGCCGCGGCCCTGGGTGGCTGCTATGTGATACAGGGTCTTCCCAGGGCACCCAGGAAGACCCTGTATCACATTCCTCCCTCTTTCCCTGCCCGCTGGGGAAGAAGGAGCCCCCACGGGAGGGAGATTCAGGGCAGCACTGGTTATAAAACCAGCCAGAGGCACAGGAGTGAGCTCAGCCGTGCAGAGCTGTGCTCACAGCCGGGGTTCACGGGGCCCTGCGTCAGCCCAGCACCAGGAGCTCAGCACAGATGTTCCCTTCATGACTGATTTGTTGTGCTCCTGCATTTCCCTCCACCTTGCTCTGCCAGGTGTTCCCTGGGTACCCCTTGCCTGTGGTTTCTATGCCCAGCAGGGCAGGGGATGGGCACCACAAAGGGCTCCAGGAGCCCCCTCCCCGTGTGAGCTCTGCCTGTCGCTGATCCCTGCGAACCAGGCGTGTCGGCTCTGTGCAAGCCGGTTATTTGATTATAATTATCATCCCTTGCTTTACACAGGACATGAAAGCCCAGAGCAGCTCAGGGCCCCGTCACGCCGCGCGCCAACAAACAATGAGCGAGAGACAATCCCAGCTCAAAGCAGGAAAACCTGCAAGGGGCAAGAAAAGCCTTTTCTTGGGGACAAACACAGAGCAGCAAAGCTCTCCTCCCGCATTAGGCAGGGTCTGGAATTTGCTGCTGTTGTAGAGTCAGCACAGAAAACAACCAGGAGCTCTCCTGGAGAGAGAGCAGCTCATAAACTTTCCCTGCTAAGAGACAGCAAACGAAAGCCATCTCAGTGACAGGGCTGCAGCAGGAGCTGAGGTTGCATTCAGGACACGTCCTGGAGGGACCAGCCACCCTCAGCGGTGTCATTTCCCTGCTCTGGGTTGACTCGAGGCCTTGGCCATTGCTCCGGCTGTGCTGACCTGCCCAGAGCTCTAAATCCACCAGCCCCGAGGCAGTGACCCCAGGGGACAGGTCCATGAGGACAGCTGGGAGGGGACAGCCCTCTTCCAAAGCACAGGTGGCTCAGGCTTACCTGCTCCACAGGCAGCTCCCAAAAAAAGGGGAAGGGCCTGGTCCAGGTCGATTGAAACCCTCTCAGTCCAGTTGTCCCTTTGAAAGGGGTCTGGGGACCACCCCTGGAGCCAAATCTCCACGTTCAGCTGCCAGGGTGAGTGGAGAGGGTCTGCTGCGCCAGGAAAGGTCCCTCTCCCAAAAAAGTGCAGCTGAGTGTTCCCCCAGCGCCCAGACTCAGTGTCCCTCTTCCCTCACAGCTTCCTTTGCACCACTCTTTGCTTTAGAAGAGGGCAGGACACTCCAGAGGGGTGCCAGGAAGGGATGGGAGGTGACAATTAACTTTCCCTTGGGGTACCTGTGTCCACATGCAAAGCCTTGGAGAAGAACCAGAACTCTGGGATGCTGCTGGCACTGGCAGCGAGGCCTGAATGTTTTTGAAGTGAAATCTTGGAGCTGAAGATTTGCTTTCTCTTTTGAAGGTGGGCAACCACAGTGAAATACTGGAGCTGGAGGGAGTTGCTTTCCCCCATGGGAGCTGGGAGGTGCACACTGGAATTGAGATGGATGCACAGCTGGTTTTGTGGATTAGAATTTCTGCGATCTCCTTTGATATTCACCTCACTCTGCAACAATGTGCCAAATTGTATATCTGGAGCCTGACTGTGGCCAGGAGAGGCAGGAAATTCCTCCAGGGAAAGCTCTGTGAGAAGCAGGGCCATGGGACTCCTCCACCTGCCCCTCATCCCCTCAAGCAAGACCTGGACCAGGAATTTGGTGCCTGATGGTTTCATGGTGTGACAATTCCAAGAGGCACATCCCTCCCGTGGGGAGCCCTCCTCCCAGGGCACCTGAGGCTGGCCTGACCCACTTCCCTGCACCACGTCCTACTTCTGCACCCACTGGCTCAGGAATTAGGACACCATCCATGCCAACACCCCTTTAGCCTTCCGCTCCCAGCCTCCAGCTCGGGACGCTCCGGGCGTGCAGGAGCCCTCATTCATCCCACGGGACAACGGTGATTTTTCCATGGGCCCTGCCTTGAGGAGGCCCAGCTTACCTCGTTATCCGATCAGCTCCCTTAACGCCCCACATCCCCAGGATTAATGGCAGAGCTTCCCTAAGGCGCCTTAGGCAGGTCCCCTGGAGAAGGAGCACCCATGACCCAGAAGGAAGAAATGGGGAAGCAGAACTTGGATGAGATGGAGCGTCGGCACTGGCCCTGCTGGGAATGGTTTCCCAGGCTCGTGTGTGCTGGGATGGAGATCCCACACTCCGTGCTGGGAGCCTGGGAGAAGCTCCCTTCCATCCCTCTGGCTCTCCCATAGAGAGAGGGGGAGAGATGGAAGGGAGCTTTTCCCTTTTCCAGGCTGTGCTGGTCTCTCCACACTCTCTGCAGGGAATTCAGGACATCTTTGCTCTCCTTTGCCCTGTGGCACAACCAGGGGTGTGATCAGGGTCACGCAGCCAAGAGCCCTGCCCCAAAATGCTACATTTACCAAAAAATTACCAACTTCATTACCTTTGGGACAGGAAGTGGCTTCCCCTCCTACTTTGCCCAGCTCCAGGCCCTTGGCTGTGCCAGCAGAGCCTGGATTTGGGATGCAGACCCCAGCAGTCCCCACACAGAGCCAAGCACCTGAAACAGAGCCCAGCCAACAGCTCAGACCCGCAAAGCTCAGCCCAGTCTTCCCCCAGTGACCTCCCCAAGGTCAGTGGGGCAGAGCTGGCCACTCCCCACTCCCCAAGTGGTCTCACGGGGTCCTTCAGCCACCCAGGGACACCCCAAACCTGTGACACACTGTGGACCCCAGAACAGCCCATTTTCACATCGGCCACTCCCAAACTCCCCCTGCTCCTCCCACCTTTGCCCCTCTTCCCAAGCGCTCCCCACCCCATCCCTTCCTGCCCCCAACACCTTAAACAACATTAAACACTTAATGGCAATTAATACGCTTTAATGCAGGTTTTGGGGCCAACTGGCTGCTTAGAGGGTGCTTAAACCATCAACCCCTCTCAATCCCGTTGCCCTTGTCACACAAAGTTAGCCGAGCCCCTCGTCAGCCTCCCCCCTCCCTCGAGGAGGCCGGAGGGTATAAAACCACCCCGGGGCGCGGCACCGCCAGCCCCCGGCGCGGCGCAGGCCAGGGCAGCACCTCCATCCCCTCAACTTCTGCTGCTCCTTGTAATTCATTCATCTTTTAGGTTGGAGGGGAACCCTCTCACCGCGCACTTTCCGCGTTGGGAGGGGGTGGGACTTCCCTTTTTTTAATTTATCAGGGTGGGAACGCAATTCCTTGCAGAAAACCCCTCCGGCAGAGCAGCTCCCGTAGCGAGGGCAGCATGAACGGGACGGAGGGGATCAATTTTTACGTGCCTATGTCCAACAAGACGGGGGTGGTGCGGAGCCCCTTCGAGTACCCGCAGTACTACCTGGCCGAGCCCTGGAAATACCGCCTCGTGTGCTGCTACATCTTCTTCCTCATCTCCACCGGCTTCCCCATCAACTTCCTCACCCTCCTGGTCACCTTCAAGCACAAGAAGCTGCGGCAGCCCCTCAACTACATCCTGGTCAACCTGGCGGTGGCTGACCTGTGCATGGCCTGCTTTGGTTTCACCGTCACCTTCTACACCGCCTGGAACGGCTACTTCGTGTTCGGCCCCATCGGCTGCGCCGTGGAGGGATTCTTTGCCACCCTGGGAGGTAAGGGATGGCAGTGGGGGCTTGGGGCTTCCTTCTCCAGGGCTTTGGGAGTCCGGTTCCTTCCCTTCATGGCACTGTTGGGGTGTGCAGCCTTGTTCCCCTGACCTGTGCTTAAATTGGGGGAGGAAAAGAGATTTCTGCGTGTTTGACTTCGATAGCAAGGAGCCTCCATGGCATGGTGGGAGGGAAAGGAAGCCTGGGAAGGGATCCTTGTTTGCAGGATCCAGGCTGGGGCCACCTGGCCCTGCTGGTCACTGGGGGTGTGATGCCAAGGTGGTTACCAGAGATGACCACAGCGTGTTCCCAAATCAACGCCAAGCAGCTCGGACCAAGAACAGGCTTGGACTTGACCACCATAGAGGTCTTTTCCCAACCTTCACGATTCCATGATTATTCCTTTGCCCAAGGGCTTCCCTTTTTGGGGAAATTGAGGGTTTAGAAGGGGAAGAGAAATCCCTCAGGAAGGGAACTCCACAGAAGAGCTAGAGGTGTGGAGAGATGAGAGGGCTCAGAGCTTACCCAGGGGCAAAAGGAAGGTGAGGAGGACCTAGGCTGCTTCCCAGGTTCCTCAAGGGTGGCTCAGCTCTGTCCCAGCTGCACTAGATTTGGGTGCCCTTGGGATTTTCCTTGAGGCATTTCTCAGGGACACACACGAGTGCTGCCAACACTTTGCCCTGCAGAAAAACAGGGAGAATTCACACAGCAGCCGGAGCCCACACAGCCAGCCCTGCCCACGCCACACCTCGTGATGGATCTGACAGCCACCAGGCCTTGTTGGAGAGACCCAGAGCCGCCACAGGGGCTTTGCTTTCCTTCTCCTAAACGGTGCCGTTTCCCACAGTGATGCTGCTCTGGAAATACACATTTTAAAAATACGGATATTCTGCCAAAGGCACAGCTGAATGCCCTGATCCAAGCCAAGGAACGAGGAAAGGCTTGGTTTTGGGGTCAGAAGATCCCAAAGTCTGCTCAGTGAGCCTTGGGCAGCATTATTTTGCCTTTCCAATGTTTGTGCCTCCCAGAGGAGGAGGAGGAGGCTCCTGTTCCCAGGGAAGGAAGTTGGCTGGGAAGCAGCGGCTGTGTGAGCAGCAGGTCCCCAGCGAATCCCAGCACAGGGTGTCGTTATCAGCAGCTTATCACAGCTGGGGGCATTAGCAGGCTTACAGCACCGACTAAACGCTCCCAAATCCCCTGAAGTTTAATTATCCCTCATAAATACATGTGCACGTTTCCCACCCACACAGTCCCCCCCTCCCCGCAGCTCCCCTGATCCAGCGCCAGCAGAAGGCTCGTGAAATGCACATTTAAAGGAATCAACAGGTTTGGAGGCATCTGGCAGCACTGCCAGGAATTGTGCTTCCCCACGCCCAGGTGGGATTCACTCCCTTGGTTTTTAATTTATTAAACCCTTCCACTCCCAGCATCCCCTCAGCTCCTAGAGCTTCTGCACATTACAGATGGAGGATTCCCAGTTTTCTAGCAAGATGCTGCTTATCCCACGCTGATCCCCACCTCCCTCTGCTCTCCTCTGGAAGCACCAAGGGAAGGTGGAGCCCAGAGGGGCCCTGACCACTCCGTGGGCTCTCCCTCTGCTCTCTGCAGGCCAGGTCGCCCTGTGGTCCCTGGTTGTCCTGGCCATCGAGCGCTACATCGTCATCTGCAAGCCCATGGGCAACTTCCGCTTCTCCGCCAGCCACGCCATGATGGGCATCGCCTTCACCTGGGTCATGGCCATTTCCTGCGCCGCCCCGCCGCTCTTCGGCTGGTCCAGGTGAGCCCCGGGATCCCCAGCAGCCCCCGGATCCCTCCATCCCTGCAGGGAGAGCAGGTGGCTCCCGGCAGGGAAGTGCTTGGCCTCGGAGGAGGGAAATGAATGTCTCGTTCCCATGGGAGGGAGGGAGTGTCACAATAAGGTGACACTGCATGCTTGAGTGCACCCAAACCACGTGTACCACCCTTCCAGCATCCCCCATCCTCAGGGAATTCCATCCCTGTTGCCCCCAAGGAGGGTCCCGGAGCAGATTCCGACCTTTCTCCCTGCCAGGTACATCCCAGAGGGGATGCAGTGCTCCTGCGGGCCTGACTACTACACCCACAACCCCGACTTCCACAACGAGTCCTACGTGCTCTACATGTTCGTCATCCACTTCATCATCCCCGTCGTCATCATCTTCTTCTCCTACGGGCGCCTCGTTTGCAAAGTCCGCGAGGTAACGGCCGGCGGGGACTGACGGGGACAGGGGGTGGCTTGGGCAGGACGGGGGACGTGGGCTGGGGGTGGAAAGCTGCCCCTCACCACCCTCTGTGTGCACAGGCAGCTGCCCAGCAGCAGGAATCGGCCACCACGCAGAAGGCGGAGAAGGAGGTGACGCGGATGGTGATCCTCATGGTGCTGGGCTTCATGCTGGCCTGGACGCCCTACGCCGTGGTGGCGTTCTGGATCTTCACCAACAAGGGCGCCGACTTCACGGCCACGCTGATGGCAGTGCCTGCCTTCTTCTCCAAGAGCTCCTCCCTCTACAACCCCATCATCTACGTGCTCATGAACAAACAGGTGAGACACCCTGGGGCTGGGGGCTCCACGGGCACGTTGCTCCTTCCCAGAAGGGGTTGGACCTCAGTTCATCCAGGGTCTCCTGATCCTGTAGCACGTCCCTGCTATCCCCCAGTGCCACCATTGTCATTTCTGTCCCCTCCCCAGTTCCGTAACTGCATGATCACCACAATCTGCTGCGGCAAGAACCCCTTTGGGGATGAAGAAACCTCCTCCACCGTATCCCAGAGCAAGACCGAGGTCTCCTCCGTCTCCTCCAGCCAAGTATCACCTGCATAGAGCATGGACAGTTTGAACTGGGGTGACCAGCCGAGCTCGGGGACCCAGACAGACGCCCCACAGCCGTTCCCTCGTGCCCCGGCCCCCTCCCCTGCAGGGGAATTTAGCTGTGCCCGTCCTGCTGTAGCTGTGCAGACCCCACCCCACACATCCACGGGGACCCACACGTGGCGCTCTGAGCTCTGCCACTCCGAGCCTGGGGAGCCCAGAGCTGTGGCCCAGCTCCCAGGAGCACGTCACCTCTGGGGGACTGTCCCCACCTGTCCCCATCGAGTTCAAACAGCTGCAGTTGATGGGGACCCCAAACCTTTTCCTGCCTGAATCCCGCTCCCCGCCAGCATCGCCCTTCCCTGGGCTCCCGGGAGCATCCAGGAGCATCCAGGCTCATTTGCAAAAATCTAAATATTCTGGCAAAGCCCCAGGAGCAGGACCCGTGGCTGGGGTGGCCCCACCTGCCCCTCCCCACGGCCTGAGCCTGGGGCTCTCTGGAGCCATGCTCCCACTGGGATTCCCACCAGGAATCGATTCCTGCAGCCTCTATAAATCAATATAACAAACGGAGCCACGAGCGGGCTCCGCTTCCAGCCCAGCTCCCTCTCTCCCCAAGACAACACTGTAGATACATTTTTTTTTGTCTTGGAACCTGTAAATATTTGCTCACGTCCTTTGAAATCTCTATCCCTCTCGGCTCTTTCCTTTCTCCTCCTCTTCCCCACTCTGAAGCAGGGAAATTCCCCTTCCACCTCTGCTCTGGCTGGACAGGCACGGCCACCCTTGGAGGGTGGGGCCGGGACCCGAGTGCTTTCCTGTACATATTTTATAAATAAATAATCTCATGGCAGCACAAGGACGTCTGCAGTCAAGGAGTAGGGATTTAAAAAAAATAAGAAATAAACAGAAGCAGCACAGAGAAAATACAGATGCTCAGTGCTTGTCCTTTCTCTTGGGCTGTGGGGACAAGATGCTGGTGGCCAGCTGGGGGAACACCATGCTGCTCTTGGAGACACAAGCCTGCAGCTGTCCCAAAAGCCATGGGAAGGGAGATCTGTGGGTGACACCATCCCCACGAGGTGACAGCCCCATTAGCTGGAGCACCAAAGGTGTTTAGAGGCAAAAAGAGACACACAGGGCACAGCCCTCGCTGCCCAGCCCCAGGGTTTTTGTGCTTTAATATTTCCCCATGTAGCCTTAAATAAAGCTTCAGCTGAGAGCTTCTCACGGAGTTCAAGTTCCCCTTCCTGCGGGGCCCTTCCAGGCAGCGTGGTGCCAGAATTGGCAGAATCAGGGAAAAATTGTTCCCTGTGTCAGTGAATTCATTCAGGAGCGGCCGGAGAGCGATCCCAGGGGCAGAACCTCGCCCTCCTCCCCTCCCTGCTCAGCTCACACCTCCCCTCTCTGGTTTTTCCTCCTGTTTGGGTCCAAAGCCATCAAAACCAGCAGGAAGTCCCAGACTCATCCCTGCCGTGGGAAGGAAGGGGTAGGAGGCACTTTTTGCCCCAAAACACCAGGCCTGGGAGGGGAAGGATGAGCCCCAGCTCTCCAGGCACCCTCCTGTCTCTGCACCCACCCAAATTCGGGGCTCCTGGCCAGGGTGGCCCTGGAGCAGCTCCCACAGCACTCCTGCTGTGCTGAATGATTCACGGCCACTCTGCCCATCCCAGGAGCCTTTTTTTCCTTCCCTACAAAGCCCCGTACCCAACTCAGAACTGATTTCTTCAAACCATGAGGGCAGGGGAGGAGCAGGCACCAGACAACCAAAACCCCAAACCTCACCCAGCCCAACAGACCCAGCCCTTCCCTGGCAGAAAACATCTCATTCAAAGGTTCCCCTTGAAAAATCACCCAGGAGTTGTCTCCTTCCACTTTTCCATAAATACATGGATTTATCCAGGCACTGCATTTGCAACCAGCAGGGACCATCGTGGCATCACCCACTCAGAGCAGGCACCACCAGCTGCTCCAGCGCTGCTGGCCTGGCACTGCTGCCACCTAAATTCAGATGCAAACTGAGGAGAGCAGCCAGCCTCATCCAGGGAATGCAGACAGCTGGAATCTCGGGCCCAAAGGGCATTTCAGTGCCTGACTCCCATCCTTCTGCAGCTGGGACTGCTCCTCCTCATCCCAGCACTGCTGTCAGCTGGTTTAGGAAAACAGCAGTAATTGGCTCAATTCATTTTAAATCAGTTCTCGTTTGTGCAAGGAGCACTCAGGGAAAAGCAGCGTGGAGTTAGTAATGTCCTGATTTGGAGCATCCACAGGGATGAGGGGGGAATCTCAGTGAGGTGCTCTTGGTCTTTGCCCCACAGCTCTGGGCACAGACAGAACCCCAAAAAAAGGGACAAACCAGGCTGCTGGCCCTGTGCTGCTCCCCACAACCCTCACCCTGCCCAGGGCTGATGTCTCCAGGCGGGAATGGCACTGCCTGGATTTCTCCCAGGACGTTTTTATCCCATCAGTGCAGAAGGAGCAGCTCCATGCCAGAGGGTCTGGCTCTGCTCATTTGTCTCTGCCAAAGGAACAACATCTCCTTGTCCAGCCACTCCAGCAGCTCTGGGAACAAGAAGATTAAAGCCCTCAAACACTCTCCCCTTCCCTCTGTGCCACCACACACAGGGCTGGGGGGGCCAGATCCCTCTCTGGGGTGCCCAGACCTGCTACCAGGGGGAAAAGCTGCTCCTTAAGGGAAAAACTGCTGGAATTAGACCTTGAGAGAAGCCAGAATTGCCCCTGACAGCGCCAGGGGCACCTTGCACAGCCCCAGCAGCCCAGGCAGACCCAGGCAGTGTTTGCCTCCCACCCAGGAGGCTCCAGGAGTCCCCACGTTTGTGTCACTTTGTGTCACATCGCCAGCCCGAATCCATCACGGCTGCCTGTGTCACGTTAGCAGCAATAAAAGGATTCAAACAGCAATTCCTTACTTTTATGAACAAATGGCCCTGGCTGGATGATTCAGGCAGCATTCAATTCCCAGCCAGAAAGTGTCAGCAAAATCCCAGCCTCTCACATGTAGGTGGATAACTGCAAATGAAAGGAGGGAATTATTAGCACTTAATTCTCGGTGGGTTTGCACTCCCCAGTGCTCCTCTCCGGGAGATGCCAAATGCTCCAGTGCTCCAGCAGCTGGGAGGGCCCTGCCAAGGGGGGCTGCAGGGATGGGGGTGATGGCTTTGGGCACTGGGATCGACCTCAGCCCACTGCCAGGGCCCTGCTCCAGCCCAGCCCCACCAGAACCCCTTGTCTCCTCCAGCCTGTCCTTTCCACAGCCCCTTTCTCCTCTGATCCATCCTCTCCAGAACCCCTTTTATCCTCCAGACTTTCCCTTCCAGAGCCCTTTTCTCCTCCATTCCATTCCATTCCATTCCATTCCATTCCATTCCATTCCATTCCATCCCATCCCATCCCTCTTTTCTCCTCCAGCCTGTCCTTTCCAGAACTCCTTTTTTCCTCCATCCCATCTTCTCCAGAACCCCTTTTCTCCTCAGACTTTCCCTTCCCTTTTCTCCTCCAGCCTGTCCTGACCAGAACTCCTTTTTTCCTCCATCCCAACCTCTCCAGAACCCCTTTTCTCCTCAGACTTTCCCTTCCAGAACCCCTTTTCTCCTCAGATTTTCCCTTCCAGAGCCCCTTTTCTCCTCCAGCCTGTCCTGACCAGAATCCCTTTTCCCCTCCAGCCCATCCCATCCTGAGCCCCCTTTTTCCCTCCATCCCCTCCTCTCCAGAGCCCTTTTCCCCTCCCCACACCCCCTCTCCCATCTCCCCCTCCCCACCCAGGGAGCCTCAGGGCCCCCAGGCCCTTGGTGCCACAATCCCCCAGCTCCAGAGGGGTCCAGGGGGGCTTCCCAAGGCCTGGGGCTGCTCCTGGCCGTGCAGCAGCGTGCTCCACACTCTCCATTTCTCCTTCACCCAGCCTGCCCGTATTTTTCTTGTTCATCAGACTGACAAATGGGCAGAAAACAGACTCCTGGTGATTTCCTGCACAGGCTGCCCACTCCTCCTCTCCCCTCGGCGATGACTGAGAGCTGAAAAAGCAGGAATAGCATATAAATTTCCTCCCTGCTTTAATAAATGCCTCTATTACCTTGTGCTTTCCCCCGGCTCACTGTGCAGCTCCTGCTGCCCTCCAGGCAGACGTGATAAACCAAAATTCACATTTCTGTGGGGAATCAGCAGCAGGGCTCAGGCAGGCTGGCAGCAGCATGGGAGGGGTGAAGCTCCCACCTCGGGGGTCTGGCTGCAGCTTCACACCATCCCACGGGGAGATAAATGAATTCATTTATGACCAAAAGGGAGCTGGGGTTTGTCTGGCCCCTCTGTGGACACCCTGTCCTGGTCCCAGGGGGAGGAGGGGTCCCACCATTCCCAGGGCTTGTCCCAAACACCTCGGGGTGAGCTGGGGGTTCCTGAAGGGTGGGAAGAAAGACAAACCCTGCTAAAACCTCAGCCAGAGGGTGCAGGGGGAGCAGAAGGGTTTGGTGGTGGAGGAGAAGCTGTCACAGCTGGGATCTGTGCTGGATTCCTCCTCCCTGGGCCTCCTTCTCATCCAAATCCCTGCCTGGGGCTCTCAGGACAGGACGTGTCACTGTCCCTTGGCCAGGAGACCCCCGAGCAGTGCAGGACCAGCCCAGTGGGATGGAGAGACCCCCTCCATCCCCAGCCCACCCCATCTGAAGGACAACAGGCAAAAGCCACCGGCCTTTTACACCCCCTGGAGCACCAGTGTCCCCTCTGGCACCCCAGCACAGCCTGATGCAGCCCTGCCAGTGCCACTGTCCCCATCCCCGGGCACAGCGCCGCAGCCTCGGCTCCTCCTCCCCAAGAGCCGGATTGATGCGGTGCTTTGCAAAGCCGGGGGGAAAAAAAAGAAAAAAAAAACACCAAAACACCTTCAAAAGGAGCATTAGGAGGTGGCAGCCACCCAATTTCCCCCTTAGCCGGCGATTGCTGTGTCTCATCCTCTTCCTGGAGTCGATTTAACTTCTGCATTTAGGGAGCTCCTAAACGAGCAGCAGCAGCAAGTGGCAGCGCCCGGCTCCCTCCCGGCGAGGGGCATTTGGGGGCCCGGGAATGGGAAATTCCTCCGAAGTCGCCTTGATTTATGGCTCTCGCTAATTCTCCAGGAGGGCCCCGAGCTGCCCCGAGCGCACGGAACCTCCGAGGGATAAATAATTCACCAGCTGGTTAAATATTCTCTAAGGGCTAGAGAACATCAGTGGGAGCGGGGATTTCGGAGGGGGAGTGACACAAAACTGCAAATTGAGCCCAAAAAGTGGGAGGGGATGGCCTGGGAAGGGAAGGGAAGG